AAGCTGTGTTATAATACCTGATTCATTAAGTGATGTGTGCATACAGTGAAGCTGAAATGGGCGTCGGGAATAGAGAATAGTGAGGAGGTTAACGATGGCAACCAGCCATCATTTAGCATAGCACTATGGATATATCATGTATCGGACAAGTATGCGTACCTATACATCAACCAATAATCGCAAAAACAGTATGTTTCTGCCCCTGCTATTCGTGTCAGTTAGCCATCCCGTGAAGTGTCCCTCTTTCTTTTGCTTTGCCTCCCATTCTCTGGCTAATTAGAACTGGCTTTTGGCATAGACTATCTGCAACCATTGCTCCTTAACTTTCCACTTGTATTAGCTCCCTCATTAAATCTACGAAGTATGTAAAGGAAACCTTGATGCACAAAAACACGGTGAAAGGCGAAATCGGTGTCGCCTTTCACGGTGTCCTTGTCTCACTTTCATCCAATAGTATCAGTCTCACTGTTAGATAAAAGCCTTTTATAGACGCTAGCTTCGTGTCCAGGAGGCTCGTTAGAGAGTTCAGAGTCCTCTGCCAATCTCACAGTCTTGAGCAGAGTATGGGTATCCCAGGGTGACTATAACTGCAATTGTTGGTTGGCTCTGTGCATTAGGACACCTGGAACAGAAGAGTGAAGAAGTCAAGAGGAGAGCAGGTAGTAAACTGGCCACGTCACCGCAGCCAAGAGCACAACAAAGACTGTATTTAGCTCTAAACTTGTTTAACAAAGAAAGGCAGCAAAGTCTTTGTCTATTTTTGCTCAAGTTACAAAGAGAAGCTGGAACTTGGATGCCTCCTTTCAGTTATCCAGCTTCTAATCGCCTGACAATACCAGAAGAAGTTTGGCAAGCGTATAAGACACCTCTTTGTTGTATCCTTGGCAGAATCGCCATTCGAGAAGATGGGCTACGTGTATATGTATAACCAGAACGTTAGTAGAACTCTCCCCGCTGCCATTGCGATTTCCATTCCGTTCTTCAAATTATTGGACCTGGCCACAATACTGACAGGAAATCTACACGACTGTGGGTGACTTTATGCCAGTGGTTATATTGCAAGTGCTAATAGTGTTTAATCAAAAGATGGATATAATACTCTTGCCGATACGGAGTACGATTATGCAGGAGCTGCGTACGATGTTCGCACCAAAAATACCTTACTGGAAGTTATCCGAGGGGCACATACTTTATCCATCTTTACAACTAGCTTTGGATGCATGGGATTGGAGTTATTACAAGGGCACGATTGAGAAAGTAAAACTTCCCAGAAGGTACATATTTGATCCGGTGCCTCTTAATAAGGAATCACCATCGCCAGGCACTCGATTCATGTGGGGCCTATCGGGAACATACAGAGGATATTATTACGCTACACTCGAGATTTGTGAACATTTCAGGGACTACGCCGTGAGAAGGAACAAGATATACCCCGAGGTTGAGAAGTTTGAGTTGCATGGAGGCAAGTTAGTGTATGGAGCATAATGTACATTAGTATATATCTATGTTTATAACAAAAGAATAGCGAATTTGAGTACCAAACCACCAACAATCTAAATCTACGGCCATACATAATTCAATGTTATTACAACAAATCTGTAAAGGTACCTCACTGATACAATCTGGATGAAATTCCATAATTACCCGATGAAAGATTCCGCATCCATGTAAGTCCGCGACACCCATTCAGCCTTCTACTGCACTACGTCCCCAAGACACTGGAAGTAATTGTAAAAATTGCCTTGCGTGTAAATACTAGTATTGCATATCCTTGAGTGTGATGGCTCTGAGCATGAGGAGAAACGACTTAAGCCTCACAAGTCACTTTATTCCTAGAGCTCGAGTAGGATGTCTGTTGTTGCTACGAATGGCTGCTCTATCTCTGAACAGGTCATCTATTGCCCACAGTAAATGAGATATATTAATTTCTCATTAACTATTAACAGCTTTATTTTGAATAACAAATTACAAATCTCGGCTTTATTAACTCTGTGTGATGTGCTATGTTTTGTGTGTTTCGCAGCTGTCCTCGGTGAGATAAAGTGAATGGTAGTGAACGTGTGTTTCACCTCTGTCTGTTTATCTGTCTTCAGAGTGATACTATAGAAATATTTTAGAAAGAACTGTTAAATGGTTTTCTGTGTGTTGCTGTTGTTGCTCTATCTCGGACTGAAGCATGATTCTTCAGCTGCTGATTAACATTACATGCAATTAGTTCCATACATTACTGTCTCAGTCGCTAAAATAATTCTATGTACGGTAAACTAATCAATCTATCCATCGAAAAGAAGACATATTTACTCTTAATGATATGCTAATCTGCAGCGTAGGGAATTGCGAGCCTAAAGTGAGTCAACTTGAGGTGGGTATAGGGTATGCCAAACACGCCGACGTGCCACCAATTGAAGATGAATGAAGGTTGAATGAGGAGTATATAGTCAAATAACACAATTCCCTCAGTTTCATATTAAAAACATAAAAAATGGAGGTTATTAAATTGTTGAATTGGGGATTGTTGGCGCAGAGGCTGGTGGCATAGTAGCATGCTCTGTTGAATACACGAGAAAGAAGTTTGGGTCCTCGTGGAGAAATACTCTGCTTTTCTCAACATCACCTATATTTTTATAGGTCATTTGGAAGTATCCTTTTAAAGTAGACTTGTAACTCCGTATATTGATTCAAGAATCCATCTCATAACCATATTTTAAAATTGACTTTCATCCACCAACACAGTGACAGATGAAATACCTTACCCCAACCTCATCAAAACTACACTCAAGTTCAACAAGAAAACAAGAACACAATCTACCATCCATTTAAACTAATCACCAAGAAACCAAACCCCGCAAATGCTACACCACCCAAACCATCTTCACATGAAAAAAACACCCAACACTCTTACTCTTACTCCTCTTACTCTTATAAATGAAACAACTTACGCGAGCCCCAACTCAAAAAGGTCCAGCTACACGAAACACACTACCCAAAAGTTAATACCCAGACAAAATGGACCAAAGCTAAGGCATATACATTCTTCCCGCAACTCCCGTAAGACGTCAAAACTTTAAAACTCGCGGGAACGCAAGGTCCCTGCATAAGCCCGGCGATATCTCTGCTCCGAGAGTCCTTGCGCATATTTTCAACGACAGGAACTCCGAAACGGGTATTTCGTATTATACTACGTACTACTGCTAACAATAGATGTGACAATAGCCCCACAATGCCCTTTCATCGTCGAGTTTGAGTTTTGTGCCCCTCTCCGTCAGCGAGTTTGTTCCTCTCAGTCAGCGCGGGAATGGCATCGCTTGAAAGAAGGGCCACGACAGACTCAAAGATGGATATTGCCGTTACGATTCAGCCAGCTTTACTCAGCCCGGGTCATCACGCACACGCCCTTCCGGATTCATACTGACTTACCCCTCAATCATAACAAAGCCACGACAAAACCTTACGTGGAAGCAACAAAACAAATCACAAGCACGCGAAGAAAGAGTGGCAAAACCCCACACCATTCACGCTCACAGCCGCGATTTCGCTTCCTCCGAAAGGGCTCTCTAGACCCTGCAGCCAAGTGTCCCCTTATCCCGAATGAGTCACTCTTATCAACATACTATATCAAGAATACTATAGCAATCCAGCAAACCCAAGACCTCGGTAGACCCTGGACGAATGGCTCAGAGATCCCAAGGGCCAGGTTCACGAGCTAGCTGAACTCTGCCCATTCTGGCCGCTGCAAGTGAATGCAGGCTGAGAGGGTGCGAGAGCGCGAAGAAAAGCCGTCTTAGTGGCCGCCTTATGAGCTGACGGGTTTCCCATGCTACTGCTTACCAGCCGTGATGCTACCGCCACCCTGTCTCTTCTTCCTTTCTACCGTTCCGGCTCGGCTGCAGGTCTGCAATGACGGCCATCAGCCTGTTTGGGTCTCACTAAAGAATAAAAAATCACATATCACGAAAACAAAAAAACCATTGCAGGATCATATCGCATATAGCCGGCAAGGCCAAGTCAGCTGCTGGGCGGGGACTCTCGGGCCGTTCGAAGCGTGCACAGCAGCTCCCGGGCGAGCCGTAGGGCGTGTTTGCGTATCTCATGCAACCACCAAGACTTGAGCTTTGGCTCTCCCGCAGGTCGATCGTCTGATGATGCTCCGTGTGAACCGACCCGGGAGGGACGCTTCGGAGGAAAAACCTACACCGAAAAAGGCCGGGCCAAAACAGCGTGGGCGTGTCGAAAACACCAGTGAAGATGGAGAATGCTTTTTGGTAGATGTATGCTTCAAACGGGAAGCGTATTCCCACTTTCCGCTGGGCAATGAAAGCCCCCCCTGGTTGTGCGGCTCGCCAAGCCGTAGCTGGAATTCAATTACCCAAGTGTGAAGGTTAATAGACGACAATTCAGACCCAAATAAGCAACAGCCATTATTATTCAGCTCCACGATACCCTCACCTAAGTAAGCCCATAATCGCATATCTGAATAATGGGCGTGGGAGTGTGCCGTGCCGTCGGACCAAGACGCCCGTCCCAGCAGACATGGTTCTCGACCTTTGTGCTCTGACCAACGGAAATAAGCATTGCGACTAGAAGGCTGGCGAAAGTTTCTTTCCGGTCTTCTAGGCTTAGGAAGCGCCGGCACAAGCCAATGGCGCCGGATTTTGGACCACTGGCACGTAGCAAAGTCAGAGGCTACGACGTTTCGGACCCTCAGAACTCCGTTGAGACGGGAAGCGGTATCATATCGCATGACAACTCCAGCCGTTTGACCTAGAGCTGCCGCGACCGTTGAGACCAAGTGCTGGCAAGACCGGGGGGAGGGTGGGTTTCAACGGTTGCGAGTCGGCAGTGCAGAGAGTCTGGAAGCGCCTTTCTTTCCTCGTGATGGCTTTGATTGCAGTCCCTTGATGCAAGCTTGATAGCGCGGGATGGCTCTCAATAGTCAATGGCCAAGGAGTAAGCGTGCTTAGGGGTGGCTTTTTTTGGATGCTGCCCTGTCGGTCTCGACCCTACGTACAGGAAGACGTGCGTGGACTGCAGCCGGTTGCAGCACTATCAGCACGGACGTCCATTGGCGCAGGAAGGGCTGAAAGGCAATTCCCGTGGCCTGTGAAATACGACGGGCTGCTGTATGCGAAAGTGGAATATTGCATCTGCGTTTGATGGCAAATGACTGCGAGGGGCGGTATGGTGCAAGTGAGCGAAAAGGCCTGGGCAAGTCTAGACCTGGAGCCTCGTCTCCGCGGCTTGGCCGGGCCCTCAGTAGCAGCCAGCCAACAAAACGTCGGGGCCCAGCCCTCAATCGCAAGCCGATGGTGCGAAGTAGCATTGATCGTGGGGATAGTATATGCACAAGCACGGGCGGTGGCGATGGCTTGGTAGCTGACAGCGGCCAAACTCTTTGGTGGTTTGGTTTGCTTGCCCATGCTTCGATATCGGAGCGCAGCCGAAGCCGACCGGAAAGACGGCTTTGGTGTGGGTTGACAGGACCCCCAACGGACTCGAAAACATTCTCCTCTGGAGGGAAATTGATCCGGCGCCATGCAGCTAAGGGTATATGCACTGGGATGGACGACTCGCCGTGTTTTCAACCTGATCACAAGGCCAAGGACCGAGTAGCATCGTCGGTCCAACATGTCTGCATCTGCAGGGCCATTGGATGCAGAGGTTCTGTTCAAGAGATTGCAGGCCCAAAGGTTACATGTGCACGCACAATTAGCACCACTGTGTACTCGTACGGCCTGCCAGCAGATTCCACGAACAGCGCTTGCGATCGGAGTGATGAAAGTGGCGAGGCGTGAAAACTAGAAGGGACGGTGTTTTGCGTGAGCAAGCATTGTAACCCTGGTGATAGGCTGAAAGCCTATTTGTGAAATCGAGAATACAGTAGGCGATCTTGGAAAGGCAGCTGGCTTTGATCGCCGGTGGACTCCTCCACCTCGACATATAGACGGGACAATTAATGGCGAGGGGCGAGACAGCTGTCGTCCTGCTAATTAGCTTTCGTCCTGCAGCACACTACGGCGTATCATCTGAGACAATCGCGGGATCGAAGCACAGACGGCCAGAAAGGTTAGCCTGCAGCACCACTGCTACACCCAAAGGTTTGCCTGACATGTTCCCCCCATGAGGCATTAAGGGAGGAGCTTGCACAGCAACGCGTCTCAATCAAACATGATTGACGCTCTCATAGACTCGTAGAATCATCAAAGACTGGGTCCTGTCTGGAAACACAAGCACAAGAGTCGAAACAAGACCCACAAAGCTACCTTTCTCCCGGTAACAGGAAATCGACGATCAGTGCGGAGATGCTCAAGGGAGAGCGACAGCACTGTGCCGCTGATTTGGTGGAACGGGCCACAGTGTATCAGGGACCAACAAGTCCGTAAGGCAGTTAGTTTGGACTTTGACTTGGCGGTGACACTCGGTTGTGGTGTCCTGCCAGACGTGACAAGGCAGCAGCCATTTGGGATTACGACAGGTGAGACATGACTAGAGGAGAATGACTGCAGGCGAGGTGAGGGCAGTGTCATGAGCATGACATGGCGGATTGGTCACGGCACGCATAGTGGCTTGAGACTGAGCTGCAAAGGATGACCGAGAGGCTGCCTTGGATAAATGAAAACTGACGAGTCAAACGGTCGCATCAGCCAGGGCCGACAAGCCACCTCGTACGACGACTGCGAGGAAACGGAAGGTTGTGCCCGGGGTGAAACCGTTTTTAGATGAAAACTGGACTGGTTGAAAGGGGACTGCAAGGGGTGGTCGGCGACGTAGCCGAATCTCCAAGTCGAATCAACGTAACAAACCGAGATAAGGAGAACAGACCCGCCCTAATCAATCAATGTCTTGGACCGGCGCTCAGCCCGCCTCATCCAGCGCGACGCCTTGATTGCTTGATCCTGCTCCGGCAGCAGCTCAAGCAAGGGAAAAAACAGGCTTTGGGCTGGAACCTCTGCCAAGGGACTGGGGATCGGAGATTTGCAGGGCAATCAAGGAGCGGCCGATGGCGCTAACCGTGTGAGGAGGGCGAGCAGCGAAAACGAATGCTGAGCGATGAGTTCTCGCCAGAGACAAGCTCTCCCTTGTCACTGGCTGGCTAAAGATGAGAGGAGCCCGTCCAAAGGAACCATGGCTGGCTGATGGGGACCCGTGTCTGCAGGTACTGTGCCAGAAACACCCAATTATACCAGGCGGGACGCAATCATGGTGACGTGGAACAGACGCTTGCTGCATTGTCGACGGGCATCGGATTGGGCAGGACTGGTTCATTCCTTGCATCGGCTCACCGTTTCCTTCGTTTTCCTTGCTTTGCCTTGTTTGCCTGATGCTGATCCAGGGGAGCTTCCGAGGAGGCAACCGGTGTCTTGTCTCGGACGCCTGCTCCGTGCTCGTGCTTGGTGCTCCTCCTGCTGTAGTAATACAAGTCAATACAGTACTCGTACAGTCAGTCATATGTGCGTAAGCTTGCGCCCAGAATGCAGGCCGTGGATTGAATAGCCAGTCAGCGCGGCGTCGATGATTCAGACGCCTTGCGGGGATGTTTGGAGATGAGTCATCTGTCCTGCTGCTCTCTGGCACTGAGACACGCTGTAACAGCTTGTCGCACAGCGGGTTGGCATGCACTAAAAATCCAGAGCGCTCCAGGCACGGGCAAAGATGCAACAATCCGAGTTTTCAATTTTTGCCCCCCATACACCGATATTCACAACATAGCACAAAAAGACAGCCTCTGTTCCAAGCCTAGCGCCATCGCGGAAATCTGAAACACGCGGGCTTTGAGTTCCAATTTTCCCATTTGCCCAGATTTTGAGGAATTGCTCGAAACAGCGCACCTATTTCAGCTGGAACCACAAAACGGAGCCCGAAGTCACCGATTCGCTGCCTCATCTTGATTAAAGCCATGAGAGGAGGTCCATTCCATCAGGCCCTTTCATTTATCTGCGACCTTCTGGAACTCTGTTGATCCCCCTTTGCCGTTGGCCTTTTGTTTCCATATGCACAAAATCTCTCTCTCGCCTGGTTTCCGATAGCCGATGTGGGATGTGGATGAGGAATCTGTGCCCAACAGTGCAAGGGTCGACGAGGTTTGGAGTGGCAATGCCATGTCGCGATGATTGGCGATGGAATCTGCTGAGAACGACTCCGATCCATCGGACGGTTGTCCGACCCGAGCTTCTGAGAACCGCTGCGCGTCAGCCTCCCTGTGATGGATCCTGCCATGGAGGCCCAAATTCCATGGCAAATCCACCGTCGGAGCACGTCTGGATCATGCTGTGTCTCTGGTGGCTTATTCTCTTGCGGAGTCTCTTAGTCTCCGTTGGCCGAGGTCTTTTTTTCTCTCTCTTGTCTCGAGTTTGTGTGAAATTGCGTGGCATTGGGCATTAATCTTCTCCATTACAGTTTTGACTACGCGGCACCATCCCACTAAGGTGGCGCATTAACATTCAAGACGCAAATAGGACTGATTCTTCTTGTTTGTCCGTGGAGTTGGGCAGCTTCAGCTTCAGCACGGATCGCATTCGCATTCACCGTATTTTGCTTTCCAAGGTTCTCTCTTTGACGCCTCCCTAGGATGTCCCCGGCTTGCTTGTGCTGTAGCCACAGGGATGGCAAGCTTCACCGGCATGTCATCTTCACATGGCCCAATACTCGAGCGTTTCAATTTGAGTCGTTTTACGCATCACGAATGAATTGCACGTCTAGTCCCCCTAATTAGAGCGCACAAGCATGGAGCGGTTCTGCATGACACTTGGCATTCCTAGTTGGTCTGGCTACCGTCACATCTCTCGTGGTGCGTGTTTTGTTTTTTTACGTGTTCTTATTTTGGCATCAATATACACGAGCCTGGCAGGAGTAGTGGTTGTATTCGTAGCCGTCCACGCACCCGCACACCTGACTGTACTGTACAGCCCCCAAGACGACGCAGCTTATTGCAGCCAAGACAGTCTCGGACCGGGCGGCTCCAAACTGTCCAAGAAGAGCTTGGAGGCGCTGCGAGACAGTAGCTCACCCGAGGGCAAAGCTTCCCCTTCCCTAAACAGCCAGAATCCCAAGACACACACTTTGACGCATCTCTGCATCTCTGCACCGCATGTAGTAAGCTGTGTCGGAGCTTTGGCGGCCCTCGGGGTTGCAATGCAAGCCTTGCTCCTCCAAATCCTGCCGCCTTTGTCTGGCCAACAGCGGCTCACTCGGCTGACAGCTTTCCTAGCTTTGGGCTTAGCGAGTGAGGCGAAGAACGGTGGCATCAAGCTGTGGTCAAGGTTCAGTGCCTTTGCCCTCCAGGTTGCCGTTTCTGTCCCCTGTCAGATCCACCAACAGAAAAAAAAACACGATGACAGTTGCGCATCCACAACCCTCGAAAACGTGCCCTTTGGGCATCCAGATATCGGATGGTTCCCTGGTCCTTACTCATAAGTGTAAATTACCCGGGCGAGGGAAGATGAGAAGAAAAAAACTTCATAGTGGACCGTCTTGAAATGCCAGACAGGCCGGGTTCCAGCGCCCACGCACGCCCCTCTGCAAAAAAAAGTGGCTTTTGAGCTTTAGCAGCGCCCTGAAGAACAGGAAAAGGAACTCGTATTCTGCATACGGCTGCATATGCCTATAGCCGTAATACACCCCCTGCCCTGTTTGCCGGCTGTGCTGCAGCTGCGCACGCCCTCCTGGCCTGCTAAGCCCTCTCTAGCTTGCAGTACGAGTACTGCTATGCTGCAGTTATGCCGTATTCGAGGCTGAAGCACCCCCCTTATCTTCATACCGTCCAAGCCGTCGTAACGGATGGAACGAACTTGGCAGCGTTGCCCAGCTTGGACTGTGAACGGTGTGTACGAGTCTGTTGTACGAGTATTATGGGGCGAGCGAGCATGAAAAACGCTGATGCCTGTTGTTGTGTTTGATGTTGTTCATCACACTGCGTACTGCACAACACAACACAACACAACACATCCACCCATTTCATCTCGTCAAATAGCATCTCCGAAGCAGCGCACCAGCTTGGCTGCAGCATCCGCCCATGCAGGCTTCGCTCGCAACAGAAAGTCACATTGACGCTCATTTACGACGCATGCGACAGAGGCAAAAGGGTGAGCTGGCCCAAGAAGTGAAACGGCGCTGGACACATGCCGAATCCACACACCCGCACAAACCCGCACCGGCCGCCTGTGACTTGCGCCGCTCCGTGCCCGAGATTCCTTGTCACTCGCAACGCCGACATATCGTCGATCGCTCTCCCTTGCGTGGATCCTCCTTGCTGCCTTGTTGGAGACGGACCCTTTTGGCTTCTTTTCTTTCACGTAGCTTGGCACACGCCCCCTCCCCGGTCTGGCCCTACGTATACCCAAACACCCTCTATACCCACCTCCTTATTGCTGGGCTACTTTTTAAACAAGACCCTCCCTCCCTCGAGGACCGCTACACAACTACAACCGCTTGCATCCAAACTTTTTTAACTCTCGACTTTCTCTTCTCATTCTTCATTCTAGAATAAAGCAACGAGAAATAACAAACAGCAAAACTCAACAAGACAGTCATTGCCTGTCCCATCCGTGCATACACAAGCCCGCTGGTTCACCCATCAGCTTACTCTTTGCACCCCATCACGTCACCCTGCGATTTGAGCCACCCCACCGATTCGGAACAGCAGGCGAAATACATCAAAAGATAAATACACCACGGCTCGCCTGCCTTGACTTTGGACGCTTTCAGAACGTCTGAAACATCTCCGGACTAAGAACCAAAAAGACACTTTTGACGCCAGAAGATGCCCGCTGCCGCATTGATCTCCAACCACAACTTTGCCTCCGCCTCTTCTTCCGACTCCGACGTCCCTTCATCTTCCGCCAGAATGGACTCCAACCCTCGGCCCATTGCCTCCGTGCTGGTGCTGCGCTGCATGCGGTGCGCTCGATCCGCCGAGACGACGACGACGGACGATGCGAGCACAGCCGGCATGGTGCGCATCTCGCACAATCTCTACTACTGCGAGCGATGCGCCAAGCTCGTGGGATACAAGTAAAGCAATCTCCAGCACGCCTCTCACGTCACACGCAAACTTGTACAACTACCTTGTTGTATTATATACTCCCCATTTTGAATTTCTTTCTTTGTTTGAAAACAGCGAGCATTACGGCATATATAGACGACACCTCATCTGGACCATAGAAACGACACGAGACTCTTTGACGGCTGTTTGCGACACGCATTGGCAATGCCGCTACGCCGTGTCGAAACCAAACATCTTCCGTCATCAACAGCATCCGCGGCTCTACCCATCTACACAAGCCGCCCTTGGCCATCCCGGACAGGTCGAAACATGCCATCACCTGTCTGAAAAGTCGAGCCCTCACTTGTATCTGTGCACGCTTAGGTCAGACGTCCACGGGCACAGTCACGCCTTGGACCTGGCATCTGGCTTTTGGCCTCTCCTGGATCGACGACCAAAACGGGCGCTGGCCATGAAGTTGCTATCTTTATCCTATCCCATGTCTTCCCGCAGCGGGCGACCCCGCGAGCCCAGAAAGGGACGGGATTCGTCACCCAGTGTGTCGGCTCAACGGTCAGCACTCTATGCGGCATAGCTTGGGTCGTGATTCCCGGGACCGAAGCAGCCGCTGGCCACATGGGATGTGAGATCTGCAACGCGCTGAGCCTGCGGGTGCCTGCGGATTTGTCTTATCGCGGTGTCTCTATTTCCGAGCTCCAGCCATCGCTCGTTGTCGTGAAGCGAGGAGTCCAAGCAGAACGGCGCGGACATCCACCGAACACACCGAGCCACTGCCGTACCATGGCCTTGCAAGAGCGCTGCCTCGCTTTTCTGCTTTGAGCCATGTGCATCTCCAGCTTCACGAGACGAGCACTACTGCGCACATGCGGTGCTACCCGAGCGTCCCTGGGTGCAGCGATGCACAAGGCGCAGGGCCCTTCTGGCCCGCCTCTCGCTTGCACGGCCTTACTGTTACATGTTTTGATGCAGCGCGCTCGCGACCTCGCCCGCAGGCAGGGCCTCCAATTGGAGGCTGCGGCATTTCGGCACATCTTGTCGGCGTTGGCCCTGGTACGACGATGATTCGACAGCGCCTCGTCATTTTGTGACAGGTCGTTAAGCCGACCTTTCTGGGGAACTGGGAACCACAACTCTCTTTGCGTCTCCACCTCGGGGTACATGCGAACAACAAGCCTTATGAATGACGACCACGGCGATGAATTTACCTGATTATTGATTTATTACTTTATTCCTCTTCGCTTCTCTTGTACCCCTTCCGCCATTTAACCTCTGGTCAATCTTCACTACATCCATGCAACGCCGACCTTTTTTTTTTTTTTTTTATTGGGGCCGCAAGACGGATACCGCTAGGCGGCGCCGAACTGCAGGCGACGAATGGCTTGGTCCAGAGACGCTGTGTGCGACCAGTTCATCTGCGCGACAGGGGTCTCTGCCTTAGCCTTGGGCTCCTTCAATCAAAGAAAAAAAAAAAAAAAAAAAAAGGATGCCGAGCAGCGACCAAAGAAGAGACGTCTTGGGAAGAGTGGATTCTCAATGGGGCCATTGGAGCTAGCCTTGACCATTACCATTTGGCTCCTTGGCACGCATCGTGGCCTTTTTTTTTTCTTGCTTCTCCCTCGGCTTCTTTCTGGGCTTCTGGCACAGCCACTGACGTCTTTATTACTTTGGTCTCTTTTTTTCCTTCTTCCTGCATGGCGCTGAGCGTCGGGAGGGTCCCTTGATGTGTGCATATACGACGGATGATATTTTGGGCGGATTTCGGGATAACGGATATTTTTCCACATTTTTTCATTTTCTTTCTTCACTTCTACTTGCGCGAGGTCGCAATTTGCATTACCTAGTATCACCTTTTTTTTTTGGATCATTTTTTCTTATGTCTTGGACTGCAATAGACGATGCGGGATCTCTTTTTGGCTAGTATAGTGATACCACCTGGGCCAGCGAAGCCCATGCTTTTAGTTATTAGAATGCAACATTTTTCATGACTACAAACTCATTATCCGCTTCATTTTCTGATTTTATACTTGGTGCTCTACAAAAAACTGTGAAAATGTGCAGTGCACGATGTACACAAGGTTCGCGTGGGTCTGGATTTGCAAAGCCGCGGCTTTAGCATCGGAGAGTCTGGACCCTTGTGTCTTTGATAGGTCTTGGCAAAACCTGGGCGCTGTCATTTTTTCTCTTTTGTGAATAATTGTTACATGTATTGAATTTTTTTTCTTTTCGATGGACTGTTTGTCCTGGGATTTTTTACTTGATGAGTGGACGTGCGGGAGGTGCGTGCATGGAGAAGGGGGGGGGGCGGCCGCCTGGAATGTTATTACACGTCTCTTTTTTTTTTTTCGGGATATGTTAGGCGAGGGATGTTCTTTTTGATTCTGCGGTGTGACTCGATGTGAGGCCTACATGTACTCGGATGTACATACATGTGCGTAGGACTTTGATCTGTTTTCTTCGTCCCTTTGCGCTTTCTTTTGGCTTTTGGGCAGGGGACGGATGGGAGCCTGTAGGGATCGATTTTTTTTGTGCAGATGCAGATGCAGATGCGATGCGCTGCGATGCGCGACTACGTGGATGGGCTATTTTGTGCTTGGGATGAAGAGCATATGGGACAGAGGGTGTGCGGGAAGTGATGTAGGGGGAGTATACATTACATACGCACATACATACATGGGAGGCATAGTATAGGGCAAATCCGAAGCGATTGGATTATTTGAAATTGGACGCATCGTTAAAGTGTGTGTGTGAAAGGAGGCGGGCGTTTGTGGTGTCCTGGGTGAGACGAGGCTGTGTGATTTGAGCCCGTGAATAGAGTCAAACAATAGTCCCTTTTGCGTAGTACTCGTAAGCTGGGCTATCTAATCTTCCCTTTAAAATTTTGTAACATGTCAATCTTATGGGAATATTCAGCGGGAATAAAAAAAACTTGTTAGATGCAAGTATATCGCTGGGAAATCAAACCTCCCAATCGCCCGCTCCGGGACGCTCGAATCGGAGGGGTCCCCCTTCGTCCGTTGTCACGCCCACGTGTGCTGCAGACACGGAGATGGCCTTCCGATAACGAAAAGTCAAAAATTGAAGTGCTGGTTTATCTTTTAACCGCAAGGTAGTACCAAGTAATCAAATTCATAAGCTTAAGCTTTTTTTCAAGAGATTTGCTCGAGAGCATTACTGTTCCGGAGAAACGGCTTTTTTCTCTTCTTTGGTTCAAGACACGCTGGGGGGCGCATACTTAAAAAGAAGAAGGGAGAGGCTAAGAACGCTGTGCCTGGGGCTAGCGGGAGTGTTAGATTGGCGGGTTCCTGAGAGCAGGTTTTTTGTGTAGATCTAGTTTCTAGGATCGAACTCTGGGGAGGGATGGGAGTTTGGAGGGTTCACTATGACTACGATTCTGATGTGTGTTCTCTCTACTGGTGTTTTTTTTTTTTTTTTTTTTTGGCTGTAGATGGATTGGAGCATATGCGGCTATTCAATTTGTGTAGCGGGCCGCGTGGAGAGATTACAGCACTTCCTCCCAAGGCTCTATGCACATGCCTGTATTCGCAACTTACAACTTACTCGTACGTCCCAAGTTGCCGATCGGCCGCTCAAGCCGTGTACAAAGACGCCCTCGGACTAGGCATTCCGTCTTGGCCGGCCGTTTTTTCCACACGGCAGACTTCCATCGTACCATTTCTCTGCAAAAGAGGCATTTTATCTGTAACATTGAAAGACATACCCTTGAAAAAGGCACCTCACGACACAAACACCCGCGTTCTGCAAATTCCCCCATGCAAAGCCCGTTGCCTTAACAAGCACAAGTCCTGGGCCGGGGGGGTGAAGCATGGAAGTCAGCTGGCTCGAAATTAGGACCGTGGCTTTTTTTATGCGAGGAATAATACCGAGAGACAGAGAGAGAGAGAGAGACAAGAGAATAACGTGCATTCACGGGAGCACGGGAGAGATCAGGACATGCACACAAGGAGGGCGTATGGATGCGCAAAGACGGGCCCCTTTTGGGGTAGCTTCGTGGTTGGGACTGGGCGCGCGCGAGAGTGAGGGCATCGGATGCTGGGATGTTGATACTCTCTCTCGCTTGGGAGGATGCGAGGCGGCTGTTCCTGAGGCTACTGTATAGATGGAGATTCGGCTTTACGAGCGCAATTGTCTGATCTTGGGGCCATCAGATGTTTCTCCAAAGTAGTACCCAAACGAAATCCCATGTCTCCCAGCCCTGGTCAGTCCAGCCCAAGCCGGGCATTGCAAATCAATACATGCAACAAACCGCCTGTCACCGTGGCATCAATGAGGGGAAAGACTCTGCAGGGCCGCTGCGTTTGCATCTCCGAGGGCACACTCCCGCTGTCTGTCTTCCCGCCCCAAACCGGAAGCCTTTGCGCAGAAGCGCGGGTTGGAGAAAAGCGCGGGCCAAGAGGATCAAATTCATGTTCACATGACCTCTGCAGAATGGCACTATCGCGAGTCCAGCCTCCTCTCGATTTTTGCCAGGGATGGGGTTTTAGACGCAAGGCAAATGGCGCTGAAGCTGCGTGTACATACAAGTATTGCATGCGGCACTGTTCCCTATGGAGCAGGATCCGGGATTGGATCGATAAATCGCCTTTTTGGAATTATTTAGTGGCCAGTGAGAGCCGTGGGATTCCATTACATAGGCAAAGTCGGCCGTGGGTTTTTTCGCTGCGCTGTGCGCGGCAAATCAAACTCGCCAAACTGCAGGGAGTAAATCCGTGCCTGGGGGGGATCCAGACGACGGATTTATCTGCAGGTGGTTTCTATTGGCCGAGGATAGCAGCTGAAGCCAAAATCCGACAGGACAAAGCACGAATAGGGAAGAAAAGCAAAGCAAAGGCACAGCAAATTGATGCCGCTCTGGGAATGCCGGGTGAGGATGAGGAAAGATAAGGCATGGGACACATGTGCATGTTCTGTATGCAATCATCAAATAGTACCGCCAAGAGGAACATTCTTGGCCCATACGGCGCTTCGCATTTGCTGCACGTTGCTGGGCATCTTTTGCTCTTGAGGAAATGACAAATATGATGCTGTAAAGGGGGAAACCCCAGAGCTGAGGGCAGCGAAGAAGAGACTGGGGGATCGTCCGCTACCGCCGTTTAGATGCCTTTACGGGGCTCGCAGGACGGCTATTTCCGCTGGACGAGTTTGCGGGCAGGGAAAGACGGGACATGGATGAGGGTGCGCTGGCGGGCGCTGGTGTAAGAGACGGGACTGGGCTGTGGCATTGGCGTTTAATAATAGCACAACGCAGCACGGAATAGCACAGCACAGCACAGCACAGCACAGCAGTTTGATCCTACCTGCACGAGCACGAGCATTAGTACTAGTTAATGTATTGACACTTCATTTATGAGCATGAAGCAGCAGAGTAGGCAATGCACTGCATATACCTGATAGCTCATTTGCTGGCGTTGCAAAATGCACCCTCCCCGCATCTTGGCAGCCCAATCCACGTCACATCGCGTCCACCAATTGTGACGAACATGTTCTCTCACGATGGCCTCACTCGGGATAGGTGGTTCGTTCGCCGTGGATTGGGGGAGGGGGCCATGGATTCTCCATTCTGGCGCGACTCCGCACCCAGCACAAAGCAAATGCCCTGTCCCGTCCTGTACAGTAATACTGCTCTTCGCTAGGAATCCCGGCGTCTCGCTTCTGATCCCGTTATCTGTCACTTATACGCTGCGGATTACAGACAAGGCTGAT